GGGACAGAGGCTGGGTCCAGATAGAACAAAACATCTCAAATTCTGACTTAACCACATGATTACTCGAACAATTGGAGTGTGAAAAGAACTTGATCCACCACTTTACTTACTGCTTTTCCCTCACTGTATATTAGGACCTTGATTCTGGTTTAGTCATCTCCTGCTTTCTATGTTTACTCATTAATTATTAAACAGCTGTATGTTGTAGTTATAAAAATGCAGAGATCGAGGAGCTCACACATTAGTGGGGAGGTGAACCTGAACCACCATATAAACAGTGAGCCTGCAATTTAATAAAGGCTGTGGGAGGGGGTGCTAACGTGTTCAAGAAAACAGCAGAAGGAGTCCTTCATTCTGCCCCAGTAGGGAAGGTTTCTGGGGAAAGTCACAAGGAGCTGGACCTTAGGTGTCTTGACTAGGGATATGCAAGTTCCATCCTGAGCAGAGAGAACTCGGGCAAAAGTTTGGGGGTGTCAAAGTCTTCAGGATATAATACGTTGCTTTAGGAATGTGGGGTTCAAGGAAAATGAGGAAGGGAGTTGGAGGTGGGAGGGTGCAAGGTGCAGGTTGGATTCAGGTACATAGGGAAGAAATGGGATTTAAGATCTGAAAGTGGAAAGGGGAGAAACCATCGGACCTGGGAGGGCCAGCCTACCTTGCAGAGGCAGCTATGGGAATGCAGAAGCTTTTGAAGACATGAGTTACACACCCCTCGCCCCTAACATGGAGGCACACAGTGTCTCTGGGCCAAGAGTACAGAAAATGGTGGCCCCCCTCCTTCTCCCTTCACTCAACTCCCTCCCTCCCCACAGAGAGACCTCAGTCCTCATGTCCAAGCTTTGTCCACACCAGCCAGCCTTTGGTCACCCCTTGGGCCTAGGGCTACACTCATATAGAGTATGGTCTGACCTTGATAGGGGTTCATGAAGGCCCTGAAAGTGAGTTTTAGGGTCACTAAGGCAGGAGATTTTGGAGTGTAGGGCACCCGAATCTGGTCTGAAAGGGGAAGAGGGATCAGGTGGGCTCATGGGCCCACTGACCCTACCCTAGGGGAAGGAGTGTCTGCGGAAGATCAAAGTAGACTGTGATGTGCAGGACTCAGGTCTGCAGACCAGGGAGGAAGTGCTCCCGGAGCCCAAGCCACTCTGATTTTCCATGAGAGGATGACTTTCTGGCTTCCTGGACAGGCGCCTGCTCTCTTCCCACTATTTGCCATTTCACCGGCCTGTAGGCTGTTAAGAAGGCCATATGGATGAGACCTTATCTCGAGGCAGACACCACCAGCTCTAGGCTTGGACTTATTTACACAGAGGATGTAAATTCAACAAACCAATCTCCACTGCACACACAAGGCTTTCTCAGCAATTTCCAACTTGTTTGCACCAACCCAAATGTAAACCTGAGCCTTTCTCTGCTGTAGACAATTACCAGCGCGGAAGCTGTGCTTGGCAGCTGAGGGTTGGGGGTCAGATTAAAAGCATGAAAACTTCCATCACAGACTTTGAAGCCTAGTTCGTGCTGTGCCAGATTTCAGGTTGTTCTCTGGCTTGAATGCAAAAGTAGATATGTGCACCCTAAGACGAGGTAACATGCTGGGGGATGGAACAGGGACTGTGGAGTTGGGGGTATGGTGGGTTCAGCTCCCGAGAACAAGTCACCATCTGTTCCTCTCAGTTTGACAAACAGGAACTGGGCCCTGGACAGACCCTAGCCAGGAAACAAGCATGACTCTGTGCCTTGCAGCCTGGGAGGAGTGATGGATAAATGAGTAATTCCTAAGGCGTGACCAGTGCTGAGCAGGCTGGACAACTGTGCAAAGTGCCGCAGGAGCCCAGAACCGGGGACTCAGCCCCCAGTAAGTCACTTCCCCTCACTGGCCTTAACTTCCTCAGCCAGAGTATAGTTTCCAGCATGCAGGTGCCTAGCCCGGAGTCACTATTTAGGAAATAGCCAGTTTCCCTTTCTTGAATGAGAGCCTCCAACTTACAAAACATTTTCACCTACACGTGTCTGACCTACCAGACCACCAGAGGTCATCTTTTCTTTTGGACATAAACTGAGATTTCCTTGAACCTCTTAATATCCGAGCCTGGGGAACCCACAAAATTATCTGTCATGGTTTCAGCAATGCACACAGGCATATTTTCTGAGTCTCCTTTGCGTTCATTCTCTTTGTTTATGTTTTTTGACCCAAGGCATGCAGATCTCAGCTCTTTCTCGAACCCACAGGAAATCCTTTTTTTGTGTGTGGTATTTTGAGGATCTTGTTGAAGATCTAGGAGTTACAGGGAAAAGAGTTTTGTTGGGCTTCGCTCCACCCTGCCTGTTTCCCACATCGTCTCCTATCAGTCCCAGCTCCCAATGAATCCATTTTTATCTTCCTCTGAAAGTTTAGCACTGCTTGTCCCAAGACCCTGGGCATGCAGCTTCTCCTTCAAACAAGTGTCTTGAGGCATTTCTCCAAGAAAGACAATTCTCTCTAAGAGGAATACCCACTGTTAGGCAGAGGCAATTTTCTGTCTCTCTTTACAGTTCATTTTATACTCATTAGCAGCCCTCTGAGATTAGTGCAATAATTTCCACTTTATAGACAAGGAAATGGAGGCTTAGAGATGAAGTGCCCTTGGCCAAGGTCACCCTGCAAGTGAGCCAGAGTCTGGCTTCAGCGCCACTGTTCCCTATGGCCTGAGGACAGTCAGGCTTGTGCTGCTCAGGACCTCTCCCAAGGCCCTAACCCTCCCCACTGTAGTAGGGATTCCTTGGCTCAGAGGCAGGTTTGTAAGTTCCAGAACCTTTGAAAAGGCATCCCAGCCCATGCCTTCTTTAAGAGGAGGAAATGGAGGTGTTGATGGACACACCTCCCCAGGTGAGCCTTGGGAAAATTCTACAGCTGGGGACCAGGGCTGGGAAGACAGGCCCGTGGTCAGCTGAGCACTGGTTGTACCAGAAGGTCAAGCCATCTCTGCCTGACTATAGTTGAGAGTCCCCAGATTCCTCATGACCTTGATATGATTTGTGCTGCTGTCCATTTCCTGGTCACCACCCCTGGTGGTGTCATGAGGCAGAGAAAACATCAGGTGCAGGACCTGCATGACTTAACACTTTCAGCTGTGCCACGCACTGCGTGGTTTCATGCCAACATGCCATCACCTCCCTCTAGGGGAAGGCCAGCCGTGCTTCCTCACCGGTGAGGTTTATAGGGCATCTACTCAGCTGATAAAATACTGAGGCCCTCCTTTGTGGGTCTCTGGGCTGGTCATGGGTCAGAGGATGAGCAGAAAGCAGCTGTGTCCTCAAAGAGCTTTCATTCTGGAGGGCAGAGATGGTTTTTAAAAATGAGCTGTCATAGAGAAAATGATGAATATGTAAGGACGCAGTGACCCATAGGAGAATGAAAAAGTCACTGACTGCCCAGGGGAGGGAGACGGCACAAGAGAGCCGTGGGCAAGGCTGGCTCCCTTTCCCTGGGCTGTGTGCACAGCGCCCTCCCCGGCTCTCCCCAGCAGCCTGTGAGCAGGTCTGAGCTGGCTGGCCAGGCTCCCTTCCATGTCGGGAGAGCCTCTCAATGGAGGCTGCTTTGAAGTGTGTCCCTTGTTGAGATCTGGAACAATCCATGGACATTTTCCACATCAGGGCAGATCGGGCAGCTCAGTGGCATCAAGAGCCCCTCCACTGCTTATTGCCGCATCCACAAGGAAGCAGCCTTACCTGGAGAGATGACAGAATCTGTCATTTTACATAAGGATGCTACCCAGTACCGCTACTTATAAACTCTTCAAAATACAGAGCCTTATTATTTCTAGTACACTTCCTATTTCTGTAAAAGAAAGTTCCAGGTGCAACTCTAACTGCTCTGCAAACAACCTCCCATTCAACTCCCTCCTGCCTCCCGGTGAAGTTAGCTACTAATATTAGCGCCATTTTACAAAATGAAATAAGAAATAGGCCCAAAGAAATGATAACTTGGTAAAGTCCTTCAGGTCGTATTGGGCATAATACACTGACTTAGTGGCTGGCCTGTGCTAACCTACGCTAGCTAGAGATGCTGACCCAGAAGCAGGTCAACCCCCAGCAGATTTCTATGTAGAAAGTGTCTGAACCTTATTTAATGAGCTTCACAGGTGGGGGTTTAAAAATGTTTGTTGTAATCTGTTTTGTAAAAAGCATCTATTTAATCTGGATACAGTATAAACAGAATATTCATAATATACTAAGGCATAGCTCATGTGACCTGTGGGTGTCTGGGGAGAGAGAGACAGGTCTGGCCTGAGAAGGCGTGCTCACATCTGCTTGCGGATGTCCCTGGAAGGGCCTGTTGGAGAAAAGTGGAGAGAAGAGGACGGAGTGAGGGCCCTCAGAGGAGGCTGGGAATCAGTCCTGTTGTCAGTTAAAGGGGGCCAGGGGATCCAAGGCCAGGTCCATGGGTCACAGGGACCATTTGGACAGATGGGTGTGGTATGTCTAGCATGAGGCCTAGTCTCCAGCCCGTGCACCTTGGTGGTGGTGACTGAAGAGAGGGGCCAATTCCCCAAAAGGGAAAGGATGCAGCCTGATTGAATAGCAGGCACGTCGGAACCCCAGGACCTTTCTAAATAAGTCTCTCCCTAAAAAAAAAAAATTTAAAAAGTAAATAAAAAAATAAGTCTCTCCCTCCGGTGTTGCTGGGTGCTGTTGGTGGTCCCAAGATGACTTTTGCTGGTCCCTGATGCTGCTTTAAGAGTGTAACCATTTTGCATTTATTTCTGTGGATAATGTTTATTTGTGGCAAGTGATTCCATTTTTCCCTTTCATTTAGTTTTCTTCTAGATGCGTGTATTCCAGCCAGAAAAAGGTGTTTGGTTTAGTGACAAATAAAGCATAATTAAATGATCCTCTATGTGGTAAAAGCCACAAGGGCAGTGGTGGAGCAATGGAGATACGTGTAAAGACTCTCACCTGTGGGTTTTGGTGGCACCTGCCTGCCTTCCTGTCTCCTCAGAGAGCTTGCGTGTGTCTTGCAGACCCGGTGCACGGCCCACAGAACGTGGAGATAGTGGACATCCGGGCCCGGCAGCTGACCCTGCAGTGGGAGCCCTTCGGTTACGCGGTGACGCGCTGCCACAGCTACAACCTCACGGTGCAGTACCAGTACGTGTTCAACCAGCAGCAGTACGAGGCCGAGGAGGTGATCCAGACCTCTTCCCACTACACCCTGCGGGGCCTGCGCCCCTTCATGACCATCCGCCTGCGGCTGCTGCTGTCCAACCCCGAGGGCCGGATGGAGAGTGAGGAGCTGGTGGTGCAGACCGAGGAGGACGGTGAGCAAGGGGCCAAGTGAACTTGGGAGGGGGGAATGTTGGACCCACTCTGGGACCACACTTGTGATTTTTGAAGGTTTTATTTTTCCTGCATTTTTAGTCTCCCGCTGTGTATCTGCCTCTTTTCTAAGGTGGTGGATGAAGCACCACACAGGTTGTGCTTTGCACAACTCCAGGGGGCACTGTTTCCATAGACGAGGACAGCTCTGCCTGAGACACACTCAAGTCTGAGCTTTACACCCCCATCCCTCTTTTCATTTCTTATCACCTTCTATACCTAAGGTTTAAACACATGGAGATCTCCTGAAAGGGAGGTGTAGATGCTGTTGTTTATGTTGAGTTTAGAAGTCAAAAATTCTGGTTTCTGTGAGAATTAACCTCAGAAAATACATATAAAGAACTTAACACACACACTGAATGCATCCGGGACCACTGAATACCAGCTGAATGCCCTACAGGTTATCTCAAATCCAAAATATCCAAAAGCAAGCCCCTCTCTCCTCTTCTGTACTAACTTCTCTCCCTGTGGTCCTCATCTCAAGAGCTGCGTTTAGTAACTCAGAATAAGGGACCTGAAGTCAACCCAGGTAGCTTCATTTCTCCTGCCTTCACTCCTACAAGGTTCTGATGAACCTCCTTCCTGAAGTTTATCTTCCAACACACCACTTAACCTGAGACTCTAGGAGAACCTCCTGTACTTTCTAGAACACATTACCTTTGCTGCTTCTCTGTCCTAGCCCACGCAGTTTCTGCTGCCTGAAATGACCTCTTCTTCTGTGCTTATAGAACATACTCTGTTAATCTTTCACCTTTTTGCTCACTTGCTACTTCCTCCAGGAAGCTTTCCCTGATTGCCCCAAGCCAACTTGTGTATTTCTTCTCAGTTGCCCACTGCATTATGAGGAACTTCACTAACAAGATATTTTATTTGGGGGGAATATCCTCAAATAACAAGAGGAAAGAGCACCTGCCTCTTCTTCTCAACTTGTCCCCCCATTCTTATTTCCTGAATCCTTCTTTGTACTGGAAGTTTTATATATAACCTGACTGACCTCCTTTAAGTGCCTCCTCATAGCCACTCTTCACTCCCAACCCTGCAGACTATGCTTCTAGGTTGCAGCAGTGGGGTTCTTGGATCCCCTCCTTCCTGCATTGCAATACAGCTCTCATCTGTGGGCACAGCTCCCACTGGGTCAACCTCTCCAGGTGATCTGGTTTTCTGCTTCCCATGAACTATGTCCATCCAACCTCCAGCAGGGGTGTCAGACATTTCATCATGGCTTCTCTCTGTGGCCCAGGGCCCGTGGCCATGATTTTGGTTTTTACTAAAAATGCCAGATCTGTCCCTACATCTGTTACTTCAAATATATACAGCCCCTCTCTCCAGTGGTAGAATAAAGCTTTGTTTGAGAAGGCAGATTTGGCAAGCAAATAGGCCTGGGACAAGTTGTTTAACTTCTTTTTTTTTAAGATTTATTTATTTATTTATTTATGCAGACAAGAACTGGGGTACAGGCCAGAGGTGCAGGGTGTGAGAGGATTCACCAGAAACAGAGTGGGGAACAGAGCACGTGGATCTACTGAAATACACTGCTGAGGGGAGCAGTGGACAAGACAGGAGAGGTCTGCTGTGCCATGTGGGTAGCTCCCTGACCAAGGATTGAACTCATGTGCAATAGTTGTAGATAGCTTCATAGTGTTGATGCTTAACCCCTTGCGCCACCAGGGAGTCCCCAAGTTGTTTAACTTCTCAGAACCTTGGTTTCCTCATCTATAAAATAGTTTATAATAGTGCCTACCTTACAGATTTTTGTTCTCTTTAAAAGGATGCATTAAAAAATTGGAATATTTCTCAACAGATTTTAAGTTTTCAATAAATGTAGATACCATATTATATAGATACAACATTGACTAAGTATGTTTATAATATATATAATTATATAATATATATAATTATTGACTAAGATCCTCTAGCACAAGCAACCCAGCATCTACCCTAGGAAACCTCTTTGGAGCACTAGGCTTCCACTCTTAACTGTTTGTAGATAACATGACATAGACTCAAAGAGTGACAATATGGTCAGTGCCTTTTCTGAGAAGCAGCTAGAAAATGCAGGACTCAGAAGATGAGTGACAGGGTCTGACCAGGAGCAGCTCAGGAGCTTTGTTCTCAGGATGCTCTGGTTGCTTTGGGCTGCTTTGTAAGGATTGCCCACATGTACCCCAGCAAATCCCAAATCCCATCTTTAAGGCTTGTCTTGACCTAGCCCTTTCTTCTCCTCATTACTGGTGGGCGGGGTTTGGGGGGCTCAAAAAGTCTTTATCAATATGATGTGAGAGCAGCAATGCTTTGAAATTAAATTTTAATTAAACATCATTAATAAAATATCAGTTCTTACTCCAAGGAGCTGTGTGGACATTATCCTATTAAAAGCACTAACATACGAGACAGGGCTCCTCAGCCATGCAGCTGTTCCAAGCCCACACCTCAGGGCCTGCCTGCTGAAGGTGGGCCTCTCTGTGTGCCTGGGTGAGCTCTGTCCTCCCAAAGAAGAAGTAATACAGTTCCTGTGTCCTGGGGAACTTGTTCACCTCAAAACCAGCTGAGGAGGGAGTATGGCTCCAGTTGACAGAAACCCCCCTCAGGGAACCAAAAAACAACTCAGATTGAGCTGACTGGACTCCAGCTGTTTTTGTTCTTACTTCAGAACTATCTTCTGGGGAATTTGGAGAATATGTAATGTCAGCATCTCAGTGTCTTTAAGGGCCAGTGAAGTTAACTCACGCTGGTGAGAGAAGCTCATGGCCACAGCATCCTGTGGCTTCATCCGGGAAGCAGCTGGTGAGAGGAGACTAAACAGGTTCTTCTGTTTTCCCTTTCCCTCAAATCCCTTAGCTCAAATGTTGGCTTGGTTACTTACACAGCCAAGATCCCGACTGCCAATATCTAAGGCCTAGAAAACAGATGCAAACAATCCTGATGGTGATCTTCCTTTGGCTACCATTTACCAAGGGCTGCTCTGTGTTAGGCTCTGACAGGGATGTTCTAGAATATTCTACACTTATGCCCATGGTTCTTTTCTAAACTATTTCAAAGCTATAGAACAATTGAAAGATTATTACAAACCAGATCTATAAACCCTTCACCTTCATTAATACTAGTTAATATTTTTCTAGATTTTCTTTTTCATATCTATGTATGATACATATAATGTAAAAATAGCATATATTTAAAAAGCATATTTTATTGTTAACTACTTAAAAGAACATCAAGACAGCCAATCCCTGTACTCTTTACCATGCAAAACACTTAGGAGAATGATGTTCTCTTCCATACCCACCATGCCACTGAAATTTAGCATTTCTTTTAAAATAATCAAATAGACAGCCCACATTGATGATTCTAATAATGTTAAACTTGATTTTATCTGAAAAACCAGAATGCAAGACATTTTTGACAAAAGTGCTACCTGGATTGATGATATATTTTTCTCATTGTCTCATGTCACGAGGTACATAATGTCAGAGACCCTTTACTGGTGATGCACAGATAAGATGCCGGTCGCTTAGGTGGGGGACCACCCAACCCCTTTGTAATGCAGTCCCCTTTTCTTATTATAAATGAGCTCATCTATGCAGTAAGGCATTGAGGTCATGTCAGTATCCTGTTCTCCAAGAACTTTTCACCCAATGATGTCACCACCTCTTGATAATTCTTACCTGAGTCAATTATCACATTGGTCTTCACAAAAGAGTCATTTTTCAGGCTGCTTTTCCATCTGCACATATTAATTGGCATTCTTCTTTACATATCTTTGCTTTTCACCCCTTCCCCATTTTTAGTGTTCCTGTTGACTGGTAGATCATTTTTTTGGCTTCATGTATTAAAATTCATCACTATTATTCTCTTCAGTGCTCAAATTTTCTCAGTTAGAACTAGCAGAGTCTCTTCAAATGGCTCCAAGGTCCTTTAGACATGTCCTCATTAGTCTCCCTTGCTTCTTAGACTATCCTTGTAATGTCTCCACCCTGGACCTGAAATCAGCCAAGATTTCTGGTTTTCAGTGGGGACTAATATTTTGGCACTAAGATAGACATCTTAGGGGTGCTCAACACTATGCAATTGCCCTTAGGCCCTTCAAGGAGGTAGAACTGGGGAATATAATTACTGTGTTTTAAATCATAAGCTCATACTGGTTCAAATCCAGCATCTCAGGATTCGTCTGCACTTGTCCTCATTCCATTCTCCCACAGAAAGAAGCTGGGCTACCAATATCTGCATATTTTTTCACTTGCTCCATCCCACAGTACACATAAAATAGTTGCAGAGTTGTAGTACTAATCCCTCTAATAAACAAAAACCTAAGGACCTCCCTGGTGGCACAAGGGGGTAGGTCTCAGCACTATGAAGCTATCTGTAGCCACTGCACACGCATTCAATCCTTGGCCAGGGAGCTGACCCACATGGCGCGGCAGACCTCTCCTGACTCACCTGCTGCTCCCCTCAGCGGTGTATTTCAGTCAGTCTGCCTGTTCTGCTCCCCGCTCTCTTTCTCTCACCCCCTCCACTTCTGGCCTGCACCCCAGTTCTTGTATGCATAAATAAGTAAAATAAATATATTTTTTTAAAAAACAGAAAGCTAAGTTAGGTTGAAGGTATTCTTTTTAGCCCTTCTCCCTTTAAGCACTCAAAATACTGTCCAAAAGTTCGTTCATGTCTATGTATGGTTATAATATCAAGTTGATATCCAATTAGGTTCATTTCTTTCAATATTAAGGTTTTCCTTTTCCCTATCTTTTTAAATTTTATTGTTTTTAACATCAAAGGAGTTGCAGGTTCAAAAGTTAAAACTCTATAGAAAGACACATTGAGAGGAATATATGGCTATCATGTTTATCTCTTTCATGCAGTTTCATTCTGTACCTGAAATATAACCCTTTGTAGTCATTGAGTTTACTTTCCTATAGCTTGTTTTGCAGAAAGTAAACACTATTTTTCT